GTGGATCAAACAGAAACCCGATCAGAAAACAACTGGGGTTTTTGTTCAAAACCGCATAAAAGAGATTCTGAAAAACACAGAACTTATTGAAAATGTCGGCGCTACGGTATACTTCGGTTATATAAATACCAAAGATAATCCAGCTGACATAGCTACCAGAGGTTGCTCCGGTACTGAGCTCCTTAATCACTTCTGGTGGAACCCAAAAGAGCAGCTCACTAAAGCCATGCAAAACGAACTCTTCTCACTCGATCATCATCCAGTAATAAATGTCAATGTAGCCGTGTCTCACGACAACTACAACGAAGAATGGCTAAACGACTGTGATTCATGGGGAGAAGCTCTCCGAAAATGGATAGCAGAACACTATCCTTTAAATGAACCAGTCTCCGCCAAACATTACGAAGAAGCGGAGAAGGAACTTCTCTACAGGCATCAAGCTGACCTTTTGATTCGCCTGAGCGCTGCCCAACGACAAGACCTACGTCCTCTTCTTCGAGATCATCTTTGGGTCTGTCGAGGACGCATGTCCAACGCCGACATGGAAGAAGAAACCAAGTTTCCAATTCTAATCCTTCCAAAAACACCTACAGCTAAACTTCTCATAAAAGAGGCTCACTCCGCCTACCATAAAAGCATTGCTCATACAATGGCAGATGTACGCCAGCGATTCTGGATACCACAACTACGTTCACAGACAACTTCAGTTATCCACAAATGCGTAGAGTGCCAGAAATTCAACAACCGGCCATACATCTACCCTCCTTCGGGGGATTTGCCAAAACGGAGACTTACTCAGTGTACTCCCTTCCAACATGCAGGCGTCGACTACTTCGGTCCCCTAAATACACAAGAAGGGAGCACTTGGGGATGCATTTATACATGCACAGTCACTCGACTCATTCATCTTGAAATCATCACCGATCTTACTGCGACTTCCTTTATCAATTGCTTACGCAAAATTTGGGGACGCAGAGGAGTTCCACAGTCGATCACGAGTGACAACGCATCCACTTTCGAACTAGGAAGAAAAATAGCGGACAAAATCTTCTCGATACAACAGCATCACACAATCCAAAACGTCTTAGCTCATCAGAAGATTACCTGGCATAACATCACTCCTTACGCCCCATGGCAAGGAGGTTTTTACGAACGCCTCATCAGATCGGTAAAAACAGCCATGTATAAAAATCTGAAACACGTGCCAACTCGAGAAGAACTATCTACAGTTCTCATCGAATGCGAAGCCGTGATCAACTCACGACCTCTCACATACATAGGCACAGAAAACGATTCCAGTACGATTCTACGTCCTGTGGACTTCATCCACAAAAATATGAATCTGTATGCTGAAATCGAAGAGCAAGATGACGACGAAGAGTATTGCAATCATCCAGCACTACGCACTCAACTTGATGCCGAACAAGCAATACAATCGTCCAACCAGCGAACTACCAAGTTTTGGGAAACATGGAAAGAACTCTATATCAAAGAACTTAGAGGTTCTCACAAACACACCATCTCAACCCGAAAAGCTGGCACGCGCAGCCTACCAACCGTCGGTCAGGTCGTTCTCATCCATGATAACATGCAACCCCGCCACAAGTGGCACATCGGTCGCATCTCATCAATCCAAGCCACCAAAGATGGCTCTATTCGCGAAGTAACACTACGGTCAGAGACAGGAAGGACACTGTCACGGCCAATCAACTTACTGTATCCGCTCGAAATACCAGACAACGAGCTACCGTCTACACTAAAGGAACCAGTCAGTCCAAACACGGAAGAAAACGCCGAACCACCATCGGCAAACACCCGTCGTCAGCCACGACACTGGTACGGTAGCACTGACTCTCTTATATACGTCATGTGTCTTCTTCTATTAGCTGTGACCCCTACATGTGCTCACAATACAATGCCATCTATCAGGTGTAGCCCAACCGGTATCATCACTTCCGGTGATAACATTTCTCAACAACAGCTCTGTCTAGCTCATAACTGTGTTACTCTCACATCAACGGGCCCCATACATCTTAACGCCGCTGACATAGTCACAGATTACGCAGTTACCTGGACTTTTCTCCTTAACGGACACATACATAACTTACAACAGTATTGCCAAGCAGGTTCATTCTGTAAGACAGTCACTTGCACATTCTGCATGGCGGCCATGCTCAACCCGTCGTGCTGGCCATGGACATCGATTATACTAATAATCCTGTTCACTTACACTCTCACGGCTATATGCTACGGCCTTCTCTACACTCCTTGGATTATAGGGAAACCAATAAGACTATGGTTTTATACCATGTACCGAGCTATTCGGTATTGCATGTCAGCCATATTGACGAGAATTTTTCGGAAACGACAGCTTCAACCAACATTAAAAACCAGGAAAAGCATAATTCCATTGATCGCTTGTCTTCTATTGAGTAGTTGCCACGCTTGCCAAGATTTTAACTTTATGCATTCTGATTCAACGAAGTGCTCTAACGAACAGTGCCATGTGACATCCAACATACATACGGTTATCAGTCCGTACACTCAGGAATCATGCCTGCAACTCTCACAGAACGAGAACAAAATTGCGTTCCTACGTCTGCAATGGATCGACACTCGTTACACCTGTCAAACAAAAACTCTCTATTGGACAAGAGACACTTCTCCGAAAATATGGGACAGCAAAAGATGCCCTCACACAGGCTCCTGCTCCCAAAATAAATGTCTTGATTTCAACAGTGAATCTCTCATCCCCGAACTACAGCCTGCCAACTCTTATCCGGGAGTAACACACTGCGTCGAATCCTGTGGTGGACCAGGATGCGGTTGTTTCTACCCATCCTCCGGTTGTCTATTCTACCGCACATATTTAAAAAACAACTCCAACACTCTTTATCAAGTGGTAGAATGTGACACATGGACTCCAACCACTCGCATCCAGCTGACTCACACGTCCGGTGCAAACACCACAGTGTACAACATGACACTCATTGACGATACTCCTATCACTAATGGAGCATTCACATTGCAATTGACAGGACTCTCTACACCTATTATCCCTATTATGCAACAACGCTTCATTCGTTCATCGTCAGCCACGGCAGTACTCTCGCAGCCAACTCAGCTACAGTGTCCAAACAGTACAGCAGCAGCAAAACTTCAAGGCTGCAATGCTAATCCCGACTGTCAATGTTCTCCAGCCGAAGACGCGATCAAATGCGATTGCAAAGAAGACATACTTAAGACAGCATTTAACGACATTCATCGTAAGCTGCCTCTTGTTTCTCCGACTTACTCACTAGTCACTCTACATGACAACGTAGTAATGAAAATCAAGCGCAACACAATGGCTGAAATTCTTTTAACAATCAACGGCACCTTCAGTACCAGTTCTAGTTTCACGAACACGACATGTTCAATATCTGACTCGACGCTATCCGGCTGTTATAACTGCCAACAAGGCGCACAAGCCCTGATGACTTGTACTTCCCCCACAACAGCTATGGCAGCAATTCAATGTGAAGATACAGCATTCATGGCACAATGTGGACCCTCAGGAATATCTAATACTGTACGACTCAGTCAAACGTCGGCCACCCCCAACCTGAACTGCTCGTTCACTTGTGGTACACAAATTAAATCATTTCGTCTTACCGGAGTCTTATATTACGTGAATGATATGGTAACCTTGCAACGCCATTTCTCGGAAGCCAACCACAGCAGCTTCCACGAAACAACTTTGACGTTCCCATGGCCGGATATTACACATATCTTTGACATGTACCAGGATTGGCTGAAAGAGATCATCATTTGCGCAGGCATAACATTGATCGTACTCTGTATCCTCTACATCATCATTACACGCTATAGCATAAACGCCGCCCTCAGCATTCTCCGTCTTGCTATTCGCCTCATCACGTTACCTTTTCAACTTGCTTTCTTGTGCTTCTCTTACTTACTTAACCGCCGACAAAAAGTTCACATCTTCATTTTACTTTTTGTAATTTTAGGCCCAGTAACGATGAGTCAACCACTCCGTTCACTTCAACAATCATGCGAATCTAACTTTCGCGAAGTGAATAGACTTCGATCGCTGACTCGGTCAGTCTATCTGAAACAAGGGGCCGAGATAGTTCAGAACACGCTGAAGGCCATTATGACCCTTGAGACCGCAAAGCTCCGTAAGGACAACCGCGAGGAGCACACTTACAAAGCCGCAATCAACGTACTCCAACAGTACGTCACAATTCGCAACTTGCTTTCCGCAGCGCGAACAGACCATGCATTTCACGAATGCATCAAACTATTCGAGGTATTCGGCTCCATCGACGCCGTTTATTTACTGGCTGAAGACATCAAGAAAGCCCACCTTTCTTCGACCCGTCTTGCTTTATCATTCACCCCAGTACTGCCTCCTTCTCTAAGGCGGGAGGATCCTTCTCAACAGGATAATCAGACTCCCCAAAACCAGTACAGAGACGCTAATGCAGAACGTCTCAGAAACATTGAGAGGCATTTACATCGCCTCACTGAAATCACGCACAGGCTGGAGCAGAAACTATTTCCTCCAGCGTCAGATAGAAAACCGATTGTGTGGGAGGCATTACCTGCAACTCCTCATAGCTCA